CCACATATTTTATTTTATCACTTTCCTTTCTCTCTTCTTCCCTCCACCCTTTACACACACACACACACACACACACACACACACACACACACACACACAAATTTCTTTCCAAAACATCTGAGGGTAAGTTACATATATCAGGGATTTAGGGTTACTTCTTCTTCTTCTTCTTCTTTTTTAAAAATATATTTTATTGATTTTGTACAGAGAGGAGGGAGAGAGATAGAGTTAGAAACATCGATAAGAGGGAGTCATCCATCAGCTGCCTCTTGCACACCCCCTACTGGAGATATGGCCGCAACCAAGGTACATGCCGTTGACCGGTATCGAACCTGGGACCCTTCCGTCCCCAAGCCTACGCTCTATCCATTGAGCCAAACCGGTTTCAGCTAGGGTTACTTCTGAATTGAAAATTTTATATTTGTAGGTTCACATGCAGTTGTAAGAAATAATACCGACAGATCCTTTACCCAGTTTCTCCCAATGGTAACATTTTGCTCTAGCTTAATATCACAACTGCATGTACTCATGTATGTGTGTGTGTGTGTATTTCTCAAGGGTGCCTTTTAATTTCACCTATGATACAAGCCAGTTATGCATGTTATAACTCAAATAAGAGTCAAGATTTGTATAGATTTGAAGGATAAACCCTCCCCCCCTCTTTTTAAGCATGATGATCCCAACGAATAAAAAATATTGAGTAATAGAATAGCACCTCCCTTTTCATTCATTGCTTAGATTCAGGAACATGATCTTTAACCAGAAGAAGAAATACAATTAGAAGCAGACTTGAATAAACCAAATTTCCATTTTTTTTCACTCTGGAAAAGTTAAGGCATGCTCTTATGCTACTCCTCATATTCCTTTATGAAAGGGTTTGCCATGGAGATTCATTTGGGACATGGAGAATGACATTAATTCTAATTATTGCTGATATTAATAGACCTAGTAGTATATCAATTTCTCCATTAATTTCAATATTTATTCACTGATTTCTCTTTAAACTGTGATGTTTAAAGGAGCCAGTACGAGCAAATAGATGAAAGATGGTTGGTTTTTTAGATGATTTCAGTTTTTGATGAATTTGGATTAAATCATGTCCACCAAGGGTGATACCCACCTTTAAAACAATTAGTATGAAAGAATTAAGTTTTCAAGCTTCCTGAGATAGGACTCAAGCATATTGTATTTAGTAGCCTTTACTGGTAGAAAAGGATAATCGAGTTTGCAATGGAGGTAATTTGCTTTTCAAGATGACAGGTGAGTTGGAAGTCAGGTGACATGGGGGCAGGGGAAGTGTTTTGGTTCTGTAACCACCGATTTTTTTCTTGGGCAAGTGGTCTATCATTATATAGTTCTTTCACCTGTGAAATGATAGGTTTTATTGTGTGATTTTTAGATTCTTTTCAGATTATAAAGTCTGTGACTCTCTTTTACTGAAAAATATCCTTGCATTCCTCAATAGAACTTGGAGGTCACAAACCAAGTGACTCAGATTGTACTTTTTTTTTTTTTTTTTTTTTTTTTTTTTTTGTAGTTTTTACTTAGAACCCTAGTAACCCTGTTTGGGATTTTCCATTCTTGTGAGAAAATTATTTAAACCTCAGGGATGTGTCTTTGCTAAATGATCCCTTGAGAAGACACAGTGCTTTCCTTCCTCTGTTCTATTCTTAATTTATTTGTTTCTGTTCTTCAATAAACAGTGAAGTGGACGAAAGTTGGCGTGTCATATGGTTTATGTTTGGTTACCAGTACTTGCCCTGTCCTGCATTCGTTTTCTGTGCAGCGTGGTGGAGGCTTCAGAACTGGAATGCATCAAGCCCTGAGTTGTCTGACAGGGCTGCAGGCAGCTTTTGTAAAACAACTTCAGGTTTGGATATGGAACCCATAAATGTCACAACCTTTTATAGTTGAAGAAAGTTGTGTGAGCACACGAAATAAACAGGATTGAGTGTTGCCAAGTTAATGAATGTAATTCACTGAGTCCTGTTCAGAGAGCATTTGAACTGAAAAGGGGTCATACGTCACATATCGATAGGGAATTGTCACATGCGACAGAGGTTAAGAAACTGGGTGTTCTCCCGGGTATTCACTTGGGCATTCTCCCTTCTATTAATATCAGACAAGCCAAGTTGGAGTGGTCTGCTCTGGGCTTCAGATTCTTCCTCTGTGAAATGAGGAGGTTATAGTTCATCTTTGGTCCTCTCAGATCTGAACTTCTTTGGATATAGAATTGTCCTTTTGTCTTAGAAGCACATTCATTCATCTTCAACATGAATGGGAAATACCTCATTCATCCAGCATCAATGGGAAATGGACACATTCATCCAAGTGAGTGAATTTTCCATGTGACAGAAGTTTATCATTTACCCTTTTTAAAGTCCTTACTAAGTGCCAAGTTGTGCTAATACTAGCTCTTTTTGGTGGATAATTGGAAGAGAAAATAGGCTTAGAGTTTTGCCTCGCAAACCACACAGTAAATAGAAGCTCCAAAGTGTAGTAACTCTGTGATAGCCCACAGTTCACATCCATTATTATGATGACGACTTTCTCTACTAGATTGCTTCTCATAAGCAGTAGCACTGCTCTTACATTTTGGGTGGATGTGTTTGAAAACATACTGTTCATACAAAAAAAAAATCTTTAGACCTTAAACTTTTCCTTCATTTAGAATTTCCATTAGGAGCTGTATGATGCTGGTAATTCTAGTTTGGTGAATATAAAATCATGGCATGAATATGAGACACTACTTGAAATGTTTGTATTCAAGGCCCAATGAATCATATATTTTATTTTTTTATCCCAGAAGTGACCATGAAGTCAGTTCTTTGGTGTTGGCTTATGGTATTAATCCCGTTGTCCATTCTTACTTTAAGTATTTTCTTTTGATTTTACCATTGACAGAATAACCACATTTATATTAGTATGCCTGGGCTGATGGTAATAAAATAATAGCTAATACTTATTGACTGCTTACTGAACATCAGTCACTGTCCTTAAAAGACATGATCTGACTTAATCATCCAACAACTCTATGGATTAAATTCCATTGCTGTTTCTAATTTGCAGATGAAAAAGAGGAGATTCAAGGTGGTCAGGTAAATTTCCCAAAAGCTATATAGTTTATTAGTATCAAACCAAGGTCCACCTGAGTCTAGGGTATGTTCTTTTTGATGGTCTCTAACTGAAAAATACAGATTGAAAATGCAAGCTTGAGACAAGTGCAAGAATCATTTGATGTCTCTTTTTGCTTGAGTATTTATTTCTCTTCCCACTTTCTGGTATCCTGTTTAGTATTATATATATTTTCTACAGATGAGCCACCTTCAGGTAAAGAAAGTATCACAGTTGACCTTTGAACAATATGGGTTGGAACTGCTTGGGTCCACTTATATGACGATTTTAAAATAAATATATACAATCAGTCCTTTGTATCTCTGGTTTTCCATCTGAGGATTCAACCAACTTATATAGAAAACAGTATTTTTCATCTGAGGTTGGAAATCTGAGGGTGCATAAGGCCTACTGGAAGCATTGTTCCACACCAGGTTATATAAGGAACTTGAGCATCTGTGGATTTTGGTATCATTCCAAGATACTAGAACGAATACCCTAAGGTTTCTAAGAGACGACTGTGGTTAAGATTTTTGGGAGTCATAAGTTATGCATGCATTTTTGACTACACAGTCAGCAGCACCCCTACCCTCCTGGGTTGTCCAAGGCTCAACTGTACTGTGTCCCTAGGTATCTTATTAGTTGCCCCTCTTTTTAAAAGTAAAATGACCCTCAAATATCACTTACAACCAAAGTAACTAACTCTTTTGGGGGAGTTAAGATCTGGAGATTTCTTATTACTACTTATGTATCCTCTTGCTTTGTGACTCTCTTGTCACTAGTCCATTTAGGGTCCCCTTTGGTGACTGACTTTTATACTTGCTGCTCCTTCACTGATTTGGGGTTGAATCAATGAAAAATATCAAACCACTATTTTGAGCAAAGATAATATGGTTGTCCTTGTCTAAGTCATTATTAAGCATGATTTTGAGTTTAAAGACAAGACCATTAAACAGAGAATTATTTAAGAGTTTTCAAAGCACCGCCCCTCAATGTAATGTCATTTACTAGTTTTTGTAATACATTGATAACTAGATGAAGACATTACTCATTTTGGACGGTAATGATTCCTTGCTTTTTTTTAAGGGGCAATTTAATTTAATTTTAATTGTTCCCATTTGTGAGGGAACAGATGTTATACAATGAAAATATTTTCTTAAAGTTCGAAGTTCTGGAAGATTATAGGGGATGTTGATATTAATTGTCCTCTTGCCACCTGGATGGTCATATGATGTTTAAACTCTCAAGCTGAAATTACTTTATTTATTTATTTTTAATATATTTTATTGGTTTTTTTTTACAGAGAGGAAGGGAGAGAGATAGAGAGCTAGAAACATCGATGAGAAAGAAACATCGACCGGCTGCCTCTTGCACACCCCCTACCGAGGATGTGCCCGCAACCAATGTACATGCCCTTGACCGGAATCGAACCTGGGACCTTTCAGTCCGCAGACCAACGCTCTACCACTGAGCCAAACGGGCTTTGGCTATTTATTTTTTTTTTTTAAATTAAATTATTATCTATGTACATATTTTAACATCCCCCCCATACATACCCTCCCTCCCCAGAGTTGAAATTGCTTTATTTTTAATGTTATTTTTTAATTATGTGACTATTTCCCCATGTTCATACAGAGATCACCTATTATATATTCTCTGAAAAAAGAAGGTGCCACCAGGTAGCAAGTAAAATAAATGTGTTTTTTTTTTTCCCTTTTGCCTAATTAGCATAAAGGAAGTGATTAGTTCATCACCGTTATTTAGAAGCATGACTGAAAAAGGTTGCTCTTTGGTGGTTCCTGCTGGAAACCTATACTTTTACTGTTATTGTCCTAATGTTTTATTGAATTCTGAGAGCCCTGATTGTTGCATTCTTCCATTGTAGGATGTTTCGCTCAGGTCGAATGTGGAGCTGTCACTGGAAGTGGAAGCCAAGTTCCCTTTTGTTCTTATTTGCTTTATCTATTGTCTGTGTTCCTCACTCAGGTAAGATTTTTTTTTTTTCTGAAGCCCCCAATTTAATAATTGTCTTCAGTTTCAGAGTACTCTCTGTGTAAGTAGCCTCAACTTTATTTGTTGTAATACACCCCCCCCCCCATCTCTATCCTTAAGGCTTTTTTTGCCTATTATCTCTCATTCCTCTCTGAATTTTGTGTGGATAGTATTACTTTGATCATCGTTTTATTTTCTAATGAGTATATTTTTTAAATTATCATTGCATTTATTTTAGCTTTATTTATTTATCTAGCTTGTGTTGAGTGATGAGATAGCTACATATCTGACATTAAAAATGTACTATCTGTTCTACTATTGAATAAATATACAGTACTTAGTTTTTCTCTTTTCTCAAGTTTTTAGATACTTATTTATAGAAAGTATAGACTTTGCTATTTTTATTTGTCCTGATTTTATTGCCATGGGTGAGACAGAGGTTTGAAATTAAGCTATTAGACCATGAAGTTTATTTAGTTGAGTTAAAATGATATTAAAAAGTTATTTGCAGTATTTTTGGAATTAAAATATCTAATTTTTCCAATTACCTTTTTTTTTCTGAAATAAGATTATTTTAGCTGTTGTTGAAAGCTAAATTTTCCATAAACATCTAATTATATAAATGAGCCAGTCAAAACCCGAGGAATGTGAACGATGTTTTTGAAAGTAAACTGCTTTTTCATTATCTGATTTTGTTACTGAGCAAACTACATTTCTCTTAATTAATTTTATTTTATTCATTTTTTGCTGCTTTATTAAGTTTATATTTTTCTTTTGAATAAAATCCTTATTCATGAAATTTATATACTAATTGCTTGGATTTAATCAAGATTTTATACATTCTATAATTATAATATATCTGCATGTTATTATAAATAATACAGCTAATAAATCACATAAATAGGTTATCTGTTAAAATTGCTTACTTATAGATCAAGAAATTTAACCTGCAGTGAATATATAAGTACTGTTTTATAGTCATCAGATATTTTAAGAGTCTCAGCTGCTTGCTTGGAAAATACCTGGCACTTTTTTAATGGTTTCAAAACAAAACTTATCTTTGAGTGTTTGTTTTTTTTTTTGCTTTTTTTGTTTCAATTTCATTACAAAGTTGTTCTTTCTATTATGTTTTTTGCCAGAATGAGGAAATGAACTTGTAAAGGAATCTGAAAATTGCATGTATATTGGACTTTTCTGATGTACACAGTGTTGAACAAATTGTTAACTTTCAAAAGTGATGCTCCAAGAACCAATTCCATGATATAAAATTATGAGATTAAAATTAGTTATAGTCTGTTTAGTTTTTTTTTTTATTGTTTAAAGTATTATAAATAGTAGTACATATATCTCATTTTCTCCTCATTAATCTCCCCCTAGCCTCCTCATCCCCTGGCATATGCCCTCATATCCTCCCCCGAAGTGTCTGTGTCCATTGGTTATGCTTATATGCATGCATACAAGTCCTTTGGTTGATCTCTTACCCACCCACCTTCCCCTGCTTTCCCGCTGAAGTTTGACAGTCTGTTCGATACTTCTTTGTCTCTGTATCTATTTTTGTTCATTAGATTATGATGTTCTTTATATTCCACAAATGAATGAGGTTATGATATATTTATCTTTTTCTGACTGGCTTATTTTGCTTAACATAATAAGGTCTATCCAGGACTATCCATGCTGTTGTAAATGGTAAGAATTTCTTCTTTTTTACAGCAGCATAGTATTCCATTGTGTAGATGTACCACCATTTTCTAATCGACTCATCTGCTGATGGGCTTTAAGGCTGTTTCCAAATCTTAGCTATTTTAAATTGTGCTGCTATGAACATAGAGGTGCATATATACTTTCTGATTGGTGTTTCTGGTTTCTTGGGATATATTCATAGAAGTGGTATTACTGGGTCAAATGGCAGTTCCGTTTTTAATTTTTTGAGGAAACTCCATACTGTTCTCCACAGTGGCTACACCAGTCTGCATTCCCACACAGTGCACGAGGATTCCTCCGCATTCTCGCCAGCACTTGTCTGTCTTTTGTTAATTTGTTGATGGTAGCCATTCTGACAGGTGTGAGATGGTATCTCGTTGTTGTTTTGATTTGCATCTCTCAGATGACTAGTGACTTTGAGCATTTTTTCATATGTCTCTTGGCCTTCGATATTTCCTCTTTCGAAAAGTATCTATTCATTCTTTGATTGGATTGTTTATCTTCCTTTTGTTAAGCTGTATGAGTTCTGTGTAAATTTTGGAGATTAAACCCTTATGGAAGATAACATTGGCAAGTTAGTTCTCCCATGCAGTGGGCTTTCTTTTTGTTTTGTTGATGATTTCTTCTGCTGTGCAGAAGCTTTTTATTTTGATGTAGTCCCATTTATTTATTTTCTCCTTATTTTCCATTGCCAGAGGAGCTGTATTGGCAAAGATATTGCTACGACAAATGTCTTCTATTTTGCTGTCTACAGATTCTTCTAAAATTGTTATGGTTTCCAGTCTTAATAGCTACAATCAAAACTCGATGGAAGATTTCAACAGTAGACTAGGAAAAGCGGAGGGCCGAATATATTTCATTTTTGTTAGGTCACGGCATTTGTACATTTCCAAGCCCTCTTTAAACTTTATATTGGGATATTTATTTTAAATGTCAACTTTTTAATTGATATATGCACATTCATTATTTTAGTCACTTGAATAAATGAAATAAAACATATTTTAGACTAATTCAAAGGAATCAACTATGTTGGAAATAGGAGAGAGGGAAAAGAAAGCACCAAGGGTACAAAATTTAAAGAGGCATTCATTCTCAACGTCTTAGGAATCAAAGTACTGAAATATATGTTTTTAAGTTACTGTTTCACACAATAAACCTCCTTTAACAATTTCTTTAAGTAGCCAACACTTTATATGCACCAGGTAATAGTACTTTGTGACAGACGGTTAATGTGTTTACTCATAATTTAGTAGAGTTAAAATATTGCATATTAAAGCTTTAGATAGGTCTAGTTTTCAAAGCCCTATCTTTAAATCATAGTGTAACACCACTATATTTTCAAGAACATGTAGTGCTTAACTGATGGTATTTCTCTATATATCAATTTATTGACATCTAAAATAAATATCCCAATTTAAAGTTTAAAGAGGGCTTGGAAATGTACAAATGCCGTGACCTAACAAAAATGAAATGTATTCGGCCCTCCGCTTTTCCTAGTCTACTGTTGAAACCTTCCATCGAGTTTTGATTGTAGCTATTAAGACTGGAAACCATAACAATTTTAGAAGAATTCATAGACAGCAAAATAAGAGACATTTGTCGTAGCATACCATTTGACTTTTTCATTTCTCTGGATGACCCTTAGGTGAGCTTATTGAGTCTAGTAGCTTTAAATGGCATCTTGATGTCAACGTCTGCTCAATCCATATCTTTGACCCTGGTCTCTTCCTGGACCTTGGAGTCACCTCTTGGGTTGCTTAACCTCATGTACACTTGAATATATAATAGTCTTCAAACTTCACATGTGCAAACAAGATTCCTGATTCCTCTCTCTTATCTGCTCCACTCTCAATACTTACAGTCCAACCTACGATCCTGCCCTCACTATTTTCTAAACCCATTGGCCTTTCTATTCCTTCACCATGCCTTCTGGACCCTCTCCTTCCTTATCTGCAAACACTTGGTTCTTTTTTGATACCTAGGTCTTAATTACTGCCACCTCAGATAAGCCTTCCTGTCCCTCAATTCAAAGGAGCTCCGTACTAAGCTTTAGTGACAGTCTGCAGATTTTGTTTGCCTTCTCAGTTGTTAATGTCTTGTTAATTTGACTTTGACAGCCAGGTTGGAGGGTTGTCAAAACCTTTATGATGGTTAAGATTGACATTTAGTTCAGATGATTAACAATTAGAATCTTGTTGCATAATTTGGATACTATCCATAGTTGAATCCATACAACAGAAATGTGGCGTTAACTCTCCTGGTAGGTAAATTAAGATTTTTATTTTCATTGGGCATTTACAAAGCTAATAGTATATAAGGGTTGTGTCCTTAGGGGTTTTAAAAAGAAATGTAGAAAAAGAACATGGTGTCTCTTGACAAGTGATGAATATAACTTTTAATACAAGCTGCAATAAAATAACAGATGGACATTTCAGCTGATTTTGTGAAAGTGCACATTACAAAGCCCGATTGATTTTTACTCCCTAGCTTGACAATATTTAGAACGGTTGATAACATATAGTATCTACGTAAGTTGCTGGGAAAGGGGCAAACACTAACACTGTTGGTTCTGTCTTTTGGGAAAGTAATTGGCAGAATTCTTTTTAAAAAGTAAGGATGTATACTTTCTTTGACATCGTTTCCTCATGTAGACATCTAAAAAACGTAATACATTTGTAGACAAATATGTGCCAGTATTTTAACTGTAACATTGGAATAGCAAGCCGTTGGTAAATACTCTAATTCTTCGTCAACAAGGAAATGGTTATATAATTTGTTTTTTACATTAATAGCATGACATACTGTGCAGACATTCAAAACAGTGCAGTCAAATTGTGTATATTGGCGTGGAAAAAAATTTATGATAATGTTAAAAAGCAAATTGCAGAACAACATGAGATTATCCCAGATTTGTAATAGGTTGTATTACTAAACTGGGGTATGTTATGCAAATATATGTATGAATAAGACTGTGTCAACATGTTAATAAAACATGGAATGATACACAATAGGCTTTACAATGGGTTATCTCATGGGTTAAAATAAAATCTCAGGGGCATGAGATGGGTTATCTCAAGGTTGGAGTGAGAAAGAGGAAGGTAATGGAACTTTATACAACTGAATTATTTGCCTTTTGACAGTGAGCATGTATTACTTTAATACTCTGGAAAACCCAAAAAATTTTATCTAGCTCTTTGGCTGAAAAAAAAGAAAAAAAAAGAAGCTACATTAAAAAGAATGTCCAGAGACACTGTGATAGTGTAAGAACATTATACTTCTCTGTTAGTCACCGA